TTGAAGTGTTGAGGGCAGGCGTCTCTTTGATATATTGATTTCACTTCCTTTGGATATACACCCAGTAGTGGACTGCTGGATCATATCACAGTTGTATTTTTAACTTTCTGAGGAAACTCCATATTTTTCATAATGACTACACTATTTTATATTCATATCTGCATGCAAGCGCTCCTTTTTCTCCATATTCTCTCCAACAATTATCTTTTTCCTTTTCAAAATAGCCATTCTACCAGGTCTGAAATGATATCTCATTGTGCATCTCACTAATTCCTGATGATTAGTGATATGGATTTTTCTACATACCTACCTTTTTTTTATACCTATCAGTTTTTATGTGATACTCTCCTGGTGCCTTCTTTTACAATCTATAAACATTCAATATGTTATCAGATCAAATTTGATTAAAATAATTAATATGTGCTTTAATCAGTAAAATAACCCTTTTGTTATGGAAGTGTCACATTTTTAAAAAAATAGATAATATATTTAAGGAATTTGCATTATGTTTATTTGTAACAAGATGACTAACAATCTGAGTCAAGGAGCATTATATTTTATTGAATTCTATAAGTTATTCTTAATATTGTGAAAGAATAAAGAAATTTTTTTAAAAAAAACTGGAAAAACTAAAATTAGATAAGAGTAAATTTTAAAGGTCTCACCACAGAAATAATAAGTAAATGAAGTGATAGACATATTTATTAGCTTGATTTAATCATTCCTTATTGTGTATGAATCAAAATATCATTGTACTCCATAAATGTAAAATTTTGATTCATTAAAATATTAATTTCTAAAAGCTATTGATTAGAGTAAATATTGAATTATAATTTATCTTGATTTATCTATAAAATAATATCCATTTTTTTCAATTTTATGTGATTATTGACTTTCCAAATACTTCCATAGATCTCCTCACCTTTTTACCCCACCTATAATGCCTGTAATCTGAAAGACCCCTTTTAGATTTATTTGCTTTTAAGAACATTAGGTTTAAGGCAATATAATCCTAAGTGGAAATCAGGCTCTGCCATATTCTGGCTGTTTGATCCAGGCCTAGATATGTTGTTTCACTTGACTTTCATTAAATGTAAAATAGGATTGTCATCCCCAATTCATACCACTAATATAGATATAGGATAATCCAATCACTTAAGCAGTGAAGCATGGTGAGCTATAGAATACAGGTTCAAATCCTGCCACTGCCATTTCTAGGTAGTGCCTTATAGATGATTCTGAAGGATTCTGTGTCTCCATCTCCTCATTTATAAAATGAAGGGAATAATTGTCCCTACATTTCATTGGAATTTTATAGAATAAAATTAGGTAATACTAATAGAGTGCTTAAAACAATAAGTATTGGGTCAATGTTAACTATGATTGTTAGCATTATCTCTGGTACATGGTAATACCACATAAATATTAGCTATCTTCAGCTAGTTTGTTGTCTACAGCATACAGTATATAATCTATACAAAAAAAGGGCTGAAATAAAACAAATTCTTCCCAGAAACAGACCTTACCTTCAGAGTTACTTTTCTATGATGGCTGGTTTTTATGACTACCTCTGATCCCCTCATCATTAATCCTACATAGATTCTTCTGGATTTAACTCTTGTGCATGAATCTGACCTCTTGCTTACAAAGTCAATGATTGATTTATAAACTGATGTTTCTGGTCTTCATCAATTTTTACTTAATCTTTCCCATATCTCTCCTGATTAAAAGGTATCTTAATAAATATTACAAAAAATATTTTTGCATTTTTGGAGAGCTTCACTATACTTATCAGTGCTTCTCTACTCCTGAGGTGAGGTCAATAGGGAAGACTTTTCTTAAGGTCTAGGTTTGCAAGAAAAGCTTTATTATTACTTGATGCTTATTCTCAAGAAAATGTTTGCTTATTTCAACTTTTTATAGTATTCATACCACTATAGTATTCATATCACTAAAGTAAGATGAAACACAACCTAATGTTTTTAAAAAGAGCATCTTTGAGCCTGTGACGCTTAAGAGAACATTTTTATTGTGTCTCAACTTTCCAAGTTACAAAATTTAAATGAAATTAAATGGTAAGGTCAAAAGAGGCAGAGCTGAATTTTGGATGCATGTCTTCCATCTTGGGATCCTTATCACATTCAGCTCAAATTTAGCCGTGGTCCTTGAATATCAGCACTCTGATGAGGCAAGCAAAGGAGTGATATGTCAGGCCCCATGAAAACACACGTGTTCAATTGTATATGTAGGACTGGCTTAATATTCAGGGTATACTTTGAGAATTTGAATTAAGTTCCATGAAAAGCAGGAAACAATAAATAAAAGAAAAAAATATCAATAGGAAGGAAACAATCTGTTTATATAATACTTTACAGTTCTTAAAATCACTTTCTCAATCATAATCTCAATTGATTGTATTTCTTTACATAGCTACAAAAGTTACATTCTTAAAGAGTCAAAACATTTCAAAACACTTGACAGCAAATTATAATTGATATGCAGTGTAGTGAAAGGATATTTCTTAATGTATACTTATGTCATTATTAGTACTATTCACAGATGGGAGAAAGAGAAATTACTTGGAATCACAGACTAAGATTAAAGCAAATAATATTGGAAGAATCGTTCCTTAAACAGATTCGCATAGCTGTCTTCCCACATGCTTAATGTTTCAGATGTGAGAGGGACAAGCCTGAATTGGTGTGGAAGGTGCAAATATGGAAAGATGACAGGAGGGAAGGAAGAATTTACACTAATGGGTAGTGGGTATGCTTTCTGAAGATGGGTGTTGAAAAAAGATAGGTCATTGCTCTTTTACCCTTTCTCAATCTGACAGTTTCTTAAAATTCAAAAGAGCATTTAATGTTCTCACCACAAAAAGATGATTAGTTGACGAGGTTAAGGATGTGTCATTTAGCTTGATTGAATCTTTCCACAATGCATACATAGATTAAAACATCACATTCCACCTCATAAATAGACACAATTATTATTTGTCAACTAAACATGAAATAATGATAACACAGAAAATATGAAAAAACAAAGCTATTATCAAAAGAAATTTTTTAAAACGGGGAATAAAAGAAAAGATTCTTTTTTGTAACCCAAATTCTCAAGCTTTGACACACTGTGATTTTTAACAGCACTTGGTATATTGGCATTATTGTAGGAAATGATAGAAAAAAATATTAAGTTTATTTTCTCTTTCGTTTTTGAGACAAGGTCTAGGTTTCCCAGGCCAGCCTCTAACTCCTAGCCTCAGGCAATTTTCCTGCCTAGGACTATAGGCACCGGCCTAGTTTAAGCATTAACTTCTTTAGTATACAATAATGGAGTGTTTCTAAAATGTCATCTCTCCTCAGTACACATATTCTCTTCCCTTCTTTTCTTCTTTCTCTCTCTTCTTTGATAGTTCATAATCTCTGCTCCACATTTGCTCCTCTCCTTTATCCTGTGATCCAAAGCCTGCTTTCCATTGAAGTGCACCAATGTAGGAATAACTTGTTCATCATTGACATCCTCCTTACACATCTACAATAGTTTGAATATTTTGTGTTAGTTATTGCATATAAGTTATGACACTGTTGCTACTCATGCATTACCATTTTCTTCATTATGATTGTTTTTATTACATTATTATTTTATATGAGTTGTATGATGAAGTTAGTGATTTCTCCAAAATTACCAAGCTAGTATTTGAGACCAGAAAAAGTAACGGAGTTAAGGCTATAGCTACTAAGAAAAAATCCAGTAAGACAAAATATTGCCCTTTATTAAGATAAGCAGCAACAACATAGAGACCATCTATGGAAAAATGGAGTCTAAACTACTGATAAGCTATTATTGATAGTTATATCCCATTACAAATGCAGAACTGCCAAGTTGCCATCTCAAGACACAAATAAGCAGGTACTTAGCAAGAGATCTGCAAGAGGTTTTTGTGTCAAGTGGAATAAAGAGAAACTATCAATTATTTTAACAACTTCTTGATTGTACAAGATGGCTAGATTGATGCAGTAAAAAACAAACATTGCATCAGATTCTCTTCTCAAGAAACATAAAGATTCATCTTTTAAAATCATTTTATTTGCAAAATGACATATTATTCCACATGTATAACATAGCAAGAGTCTTCTATTTTTTCTCACCCTAAATAATTTCACAGAGGTAAGTACAATTTTGACAACATCCTTTACATATTTTGCATTTATATAACCATACACACATATGAGATCTTCCTAAAATGATTAAAATGCAAACTTATTGTTTTCAATTTTAGGATTATTTTTCATATACACAAATAAACGTTTACCTCATTCACTTTAATTATTGCGTTCTTCCATAGATTTATTTAATCAATGTATTATTGATGAATATCAGCTTTCGTTGCTGTAACAAAAAAATACTTCAGTGAACATTCTGATACAGTAAATTATCTTAATCCCATGCATTTATCCATGCAATAAATTCAGGTAAGTGGACCTTCTAATTTAGTCACTAACATTTTAAATTTGCCCATGGCTTCTTGAGCTGCCATTTTGGAATTGAATCTGTGAAGATGCAGCACACAGAAAAATGGTATTTTTATAATAAAAGTAATTCTTTACCATTGCAGACAGACCAAAGTTGTAAAGAATGCTTTGATTCTACTTTGTTCTGGAGGTATAGACTTCCATATACCTGACAATTTTCATTTGCCTCTGTGATACTGAAGAAAAAAAACAACAGTGTGTCTAACCAAACTACGTACATCTTAAAATTCCAACACACTGAGCTCCCTAAGCAAGCAAGTGCAGCTCCTATGGTAGTTAGAGTTTCTCTCAGACACTGGTCAAAGCCCTAGAGTCTTGAATCAACGTTATTTTAGAAATCAGTTGAAAACCATGGTATCCACTTTATCTTTTTTTTTTTTTGCCCTTAAAAAAAAAAAAAGGGAATTTTTTTTCTCATAGGAAGTCATTTTACTCATAAAAAATTATTTCTTTTGTAACCCCTTTCAGGGCTGGGAGAGGCCTTTATGGTATTGACAGTATGCCAGATCTTCGAAGGAAAAAAACTTTGCCTATTGTACGAGATGTGGTAAGTTACTCCTGTTTTTCTGATTGCATATATTGACTTTTTCTTTATTAAAATATAATGTTGTCATTTTCATTAACTACCTAGCCTGTCAATACTTCATGGAATAAAACATATGATGTCAGAATCTACTAAGTCTTTCATTTAGTGTTTCTTTAAAACGTATTTGATGGGAAAAATATCTCTAACCTTTCGACCACTTTTGATATTAGTTGGAATTACAAATTGAGTTAAAATGACTCTATAATTGAGCCCTAAGAAAACACACAGCATGCCAAATGAGCTTCTGGACTTTGATGTGTTCAATGCTATGAATGACTACAAGTTTAATAGGCTAAGTTTAATGGTTGATTTGAGCTTCTTCATCTTAACTCAGAACTTGAATACTTTGTAAAGGAAGCAGATAATATTAATCAATTCTTTTTTCTATTAAATTAGAGCCAATTCTAGCCAAATTAATAAGCTCTTCTTCTATGCCAAGAAAACCATGGTCCCCAAGTCATTAACATTTTTATTAGTTCTGAACATGATTCTGAATAGCTTACTCTTCTTTATTGAAATATTCTGGGGAACAAGTAGAAATGCAAAAAACTGATAGTGGGATAGTGGTCTGTATTAGAGTATAAAGAAAAAAGCCCATCAACATGGAAAAAAAGTATTTATTTTCTATCCTTCAAAATGTCACATTCTATGGTCATATGTTATATGACCATACATAGCTTATGACATGAAAAACATATTTTCCCATAAAGAAACATAAATATACAATTAGGCAATAATATGAATAATTTTTTGTACCAGCAGTTTTTAATTTTGCTAAAAATACCTTTATCTGAAAGCCATTACTTTGATTTCTAAAATAAGATCCTGCCTGGAAAACTTTTATATTGGAAAGCATGATGTGTCAGTACAGTTATCTCAGATTCCTGTCATTATAGTGTAGATATAATTTTATGAAGTTAGACTAATTTAACATGGTTATAATATTCCTACCTTTCCTATGTTTAATTATTTAAACTTTTCTTTCTTTCACTCCCGGAATCTTCAGGCCATGGTAAGTGCTTTTCAATTGATTTTATTATTATTATTTGACACTCCTCTCACATATACTCTTCCCTTACTAGAGGTAAAAGAGGGAAAGATGAGAAAATAAAAGACAGAAACATACAAGAATAAAAAGTGTGGCTTCTCCAAGAATTTAACCTCTAGTTCAATTCTGAGAAACTCAATTATGCATACGACAAAGGCAAGCAGACTAAAATAGATTTACAGACATAAATTTAGGGGTAATTACTGATCAGAGATGAGTATTATCTTGAGTAAACTCTTGGAAATAAGCGTTGTTTAGGTTGACGCAGTAGAGATGGAGAGTGACTTACTTAATTGGGTATGTGTAGAACTTTAGGACTTGGCTTCATAACCCCTAGAAGATATATTGATGACTAGATGGGTCTATAGGTATGCTCAGGAATGTGTCATTCCACTGTTATTTCCCTTTGCTCCTAAAGAGATAGCAGATTTAATATTTCCACTTGGAACTTCTGATTTTCAAAGTTCTCTATAGCATTGCTGAGTTAATATATCACAAATATTTTGGATAGGAGCAGGTAATGATGGCTCTATTTTAAAGGTGGGGAAAAACTAAAGGAACTTGACTTGTTTAGGATCACTTACATTACCAGCATTAAGTGAAGACTATGAATCTGGGTATAATAATTCTTGGTAAATAAAATGGACAACTAGAAAAATATCCTGGCTATAAATGGAGAAATATTCTAGAAATCTGTGTAGAACTCAAAGAATCACCCAGAATCCACTATGATTCAGGCCCATTCCACAAGTCAGGCTGGCTCAGTATCCATGGTCATGTTTTATGAAGAAATGAGACCATGAAAACATTGGGGAATAACACAGTTTTAGAAGCCTCTTGCTAGCCTGGAAACTTTGGACAGATCACCTTGCCTTATTAGTCCTGAGTTTCACCACATGTACCAAGTAGAGGTTGGGTTTGATGATCTACAGATTTCTTTCCAGCTTCAGTGTCCTCTGAGTGCATGTTCTGAATGAACTAATCAACCACTGAGCAGGCAGGTCCTTGTTGACTAAAATGTGAACAGTGATACCAACTATCCTTACATTTTTACATTCTGCTGAGCATCATGTTCAGGACAACCTCCCCATATATTAATAAGTCATAATTCTGTTTATTTTAGACCCTGGCTGCCCGGAAATCTGGTCTCTCCTTGGCTATGGTAATTAGGACATCACTCAACAACGAGGAACTGGTAGGTGCAGTGTCAATTACTAATTATATATTGATCATGCTCACAGGAGCAAAACCCATTCTGCTAGAGCCACTCATTTGTAATGTTTATTCCAGTGTTTCAGCAATAAATGGGATCTTGGAAATCCTGACCCCAAAATACTTCCTTAGGGCTTCAGCTTTACTATCAGGCCAATTCTCCTCTGCTCTTCATATATGTATGAACCCCTAATAGCATCACATTAAGTTTAAATTTTACTTCTTTTTTGAGGCTTTCTCCAAATACCCACCTCCCCTCCTAGTTGAATTATTAGTTTCTACCTATGGGCTTTGATAGCATTTAGTTATGACCTTGATAGCATTGTATGGTTACAGTGAAGGCTGCTATGTGTGTGTCCCCCAGTGCCACTTAACATTGTTACAAGTTTGCAAGTTCTGAGTCTAAGTTACCTCACCTATAAAGTGAGGTGATAATAAAACTGAGAGGATTAGGGAGGGATGCTTAATGTTTGGCATAGTATAGGGCACAGTGAACAATACCTATGAGCTACCATCTTTATTTTTATTACATTTAATTTGATTGTTTTGCATAAACTTTCATAAACTCTGATATCATAGGGTAGCACTGAACCTTGTTTATTGCTCTTATTAAATTTTTTCATCATTCTTGCTTAGTACACTGTCAGGCATGAGGTAGATGCTTTGTAAATTCTTACTGAATGAAAGAACAGCCTGATTAGAAGATAAAATAGGCTGCAAATATCCAGGTCAGCGGTTCTTAAATTTGGCTCATTAGAACACCTCAGGGAGCTTTAAAACATACCAATGCCTGGGTCTCACTCCCAGCAATTCTGATTTAATTGGCTCCAGGTACAGCCTGAGTGTGAGTGATGTTTTTAAAACTCCCAGTGTTTGTGCCTTGGGTGTTGTGCAGTGGTAGCACCATCCTTCACACTCACCTGGGAATTTACTCAAGACAATATATCTGTGAACTGCCTTATGGGAACTAATATCTCCTACCTCTCCTAATTTTAGCAACTTTGTTATTTTTATAGAATAAAAAATTCTGCCAATAGTGCATTTCTTGTTTTACCTTTCTATATACTTGCCAAGTAAAGATAATTATTTACATCTGTATTTCTTATGTTCCTCTTCCTGACAGTGTTATCCACCATCCCAAAGTCAACCTCTCCTGGTTCTTTCTATCAACAAGCTCTCCCTACCCCAATACACACATACTCATTCAGAAGTAGGGAAGGACTCTGGGTGTGGTGGCACACACCTTTATTCCCAGTAACTTGGGAGGATGATACAAGAGAGTCACAAGTTTGAGGCCAGCCTCATCAACTTAGTGAGATCCTAGGCAACTTAGCGAGATCCTGTCTCAAAATAAAAAAATAAAGGGCTGGGGTTAAGGTTCAGTGGTAAAGTGCCTCTGGGTTCAATCCTTGGTACAAAAAAAAAAAAAGCATGAAAGGATGGGGAGGCCCTTTATGTTCATTGAATATGTTCATTTGAATATTCAGAGTCTACAGCAAGTTGATACATGTTCTATTATGCACAAGCTTAAAAAAAGGTGACTGCATTTCCAGTGTCTCAGTCTTAGGCATGATATTTATGATGCCTTGAAATATTTTGAGTATAGTGTGAGAACAAGACAATGACGCATCCTCTGTTGTATGAGAAAACCCCATCTTAGTTGCTGAATCATGAGGTTCTTGTGTTTTTGAGGAAATAATCAGAATTTAAGTATTTTATTGATAAATGCCTGTACACTTTCTCTCTTATATTTTGAAATATGACATTAGAACTATGAGTTTTAATCTCTATGAAAAGGTAACAGGAAACCAATATAAGTTAATGGAAGGCGATACATTTTCTAAGTCCCTGAACAGGGAATATATCCTCACATTATGGGTAAATTTGCTACTGATCTACTTTATAGCAACTTAAAAACATCGCTTTACTTGCTTAGTTTCAGAAGGCCTAACTAAATAACATCTCTGTGGGTGCTGGTTGGATGAATTGAGTCCATTAGCTCCCTCTCAGATTCACAAAGCTCATTTCCCTGGGGCCCATGTCTCAAAAAGTACATGAACTATGACTTCTGTACAACAGGCATATGAAATGTCACTCTTGACAAGCTGTCATCTTCAGTCATTATATAGGCAGTTAATGTAAACGCTGAAGGGAACAGTTTCCACACTTCAGTGCTGAAAGTCTTGTTAGGCACCCTGGAAGTGAAAGCGTGGAATATTTGCCTTTAAGTGAAGGAAAATGGCTTGGCCATGTGAGAAATATCAAATGATGGCAGCTCAATTTTAATTAAAGAAAGAGACAAGAGAAAGCTCAGTCATTTTTTTCAAGGAAAGAAAAAGCTCTTGTATCTTGTGCCAGATGTGGGCCAGCATTACCTCCAAGAATGCTAATGCCTCGCTCTGTTCTTTGCAGTTGAGGCTTAGATTCCTGTCCAGGGAGTGCTGACATGGAAACCAGCAGTAATGATGCCCAGTGTAAATATTATGTCTTGCTTATAAATATTGTTATTGGTCCTAATTCTATCTTTCTTCCTGAGCAGTCTTTGGCTTGAGGTTCATGTTGGTTGAGTTCTACCATTTACTAGCAGTGAGGCCTCAGGCAAGTTATGGAAATTTTCTTAGTTTTGATTTGCTCTATCTTTACTAACAATTCAGTTTTTTAAATCTATGCACATGAGTTAAATGAGCTTATGGTTTGCTGTATCTTTGAACAACTTTGACATCAGTATTAAACTAGTTTTGCAAAATAAGCTGGGGAGCTTCCCTTTTTTGAGATTCACTGGGATGGTTTTCATAAATAAATTGCTGTACCTTGAAGGGCTGGCACAACTTGCTTCTGAAACCATCTGGACTTGATGCTTATTTGATGCTTAATTTGAGGGTGGTTATTTGACTACTGAATCAACTTATTTAATATCGTGACTATAACCATGTTTTTTAAACATTTGTTCTTGAGTTAGTGAATTAATTTTGATCATTTATATTTGTCCCAGAAAGCCATCTTTTTTTCCTTGTGTGTGTACGTGTTTGTGCACATGTGGTGTGTGTGCA